GATGGGCAGGGTTCATCCCAGGCCAGGCTGGACAGGGTTTGGCCCAGGCCAGGCTGGACAGGGTTTGGTCCAGAGCAGGATGGACAGAGTCACAGGGACACTCCACTGTGCTGGTGTCCCCCATCTTCAACCACAAACTGAGGCACCCAGGCCAGGCTGGATAGGGCTTATTCCCAGGCCAGGCTGGGAAGTTTATCCCAGGCCAGGCTAGACAAGGTTTGGCCCAGAGCAGGCTGGACAGAGTTTGTCCTGGGCCAGGCTGGACAGGGTTTGGCCCAAGCGAAGCTGGACAAAGCTTGGCCAGGCCAGGCTGGGCAGAGTTTATCCCAGGCCAGGCTGGACAGGGTTTGGCCCAGGCCAGCCCAGCTGCCTCTCAGTCCCTGCCATTTCAAACATGCCCAGGCTGCCTCTGCAGGTGCTGGGACAACTCATCCCAGCCAAAGCTCCTGGGACACACCTCCCACCCTCCAGGCTGCCACCTGAGATGTCACCAATGCCACAAACACCCCTGTGAGCTCTGCACAGCCTGAATGAGACACCCAGAATGGACACAGAGAGAAGAAAACATCTTTTTTTCTAATAAATTAATTGTGCTACCACTAAATGTAAACTCTGCAGACTCCAAGCTCTTTTATCTTTGGCACAGGAGCATGATTTAGGTTTACCCAAGAGAATGAGATTGGTCATCCTTCCTTCCCGTTACAGATTTGATTTTCTGTCCAGGCATGAGTGCATGGGGAAGGCTGCAGGATGGGGGGGTTGAAAAACCCTTATAAGACTGAGACAAATCTTTGAGCCTCCTGCTGCTCAGCAAATGAAGGCAACAATTTCCTGTACTTGCAGCACAAGGAGAATAAGGTAACATCAAATTGGTCCCCTCAGATATTAAAGAGGCCAAATTTTTGAAGCATGGCACTTCTTGCAAGTCATTTTTCTACCCAGGAGGAATTAAGTCTGGTCTTCAGAAATCTCCAAACATCCACCCTGGAAAAATCAGGCTGTCTAAAGCCTCTTAATAGGAGATCCAAAGGCATCCAACACCATCAGTCAGGTTTTAGTGACTTCCTAGTGAAGCCTATTCCAAACCAGAAGGGTGAGAAAACAGCAGCCAGACTGAGGAGAAACTTGAGCAGAAACAGCTGCACTGCAATAGATTGAGCACTTCAGTGAGTGAATATATGATAAATACTAAAACTTATGTATTTCTAATGTAGAAAAACAAGACTCGTTTAAAATTGAGTTAAAAAAGTCACACAAAGACCAGCCCAGAACTGAGAGGATGGGAATGGCACGGCCTGCATGTGGGAACTCAGCATATCCCTCTGGGTGTTCAGAGTTGCCATGGACCCCATCGTGGGGCTCAGAGACCCTGGCACATTGCCCAGAACACCTGGGGATTTGATTTTGACCCCTGGAGCAAGTTACCAACTTTCTATGAGGACCTGAAAGTCACACAGGTTTGAATAGTGTAATAACAAAATGATCACAGGGTGAAAATGTAGATTTTAGGATTTTTGGTATGGGGGTTATGGGGACAAGATGGAGGAACTTGGGCNTAAACAATCTCCAAACACATTCCAAAGCAGCAAAACACAGGAGAAGCAAATCAGATAATTATTGTTTTTCTTTTTGCTGAGGCTTCTCAGCTTCCCAGGAGCAAAATCCTGCGTGAAGGGATTTTTCAGAAATGTGAATGCCACTCTCTCCCTGGAGAGGGATCCTGGATTGTGAAATCCTCCACAGTGACGGGGCTGCTGGGCTCGGGCTGTTTGCAAACCCCCAGGGGAACTGAGCTCAGAGCAAATATTATTCCAAACTCCCAGCTGCAGGCTGAGCCAAGCAGATTTCCTGCTTGGAACAGGAATGCATTTCACTGGCAGAGCTGGGAGCCAGCCCTGACTCTGCCTTTGGGGCTGGGGACAGGCAGGAGCTGTGCTGGGCATGGTGCTCTCCTTTCCTTGCCCCAGCTGGGACAGAGGAATCCCTGGGACTGGAAATGCCAAATTTGCCCCCGTCAAGGGTCAGGAATGAAGGGAAAGTGAAGCCAGCCCCAAAAGAGGAGGTGATTGCATTTGCCACCACAAATTCCAGTGAGGGAAACATCCCAGAGAGTCCTGGGACAGCCCCAGGGAATTGCTTTGCCTTCCTGACACAATCCCTGTGTGACATCTGTAGGTGACACATGTGTGACACCAGGGACAGAACTCAGACCTGAGCCAGGCTTCCAAAATTCATCCTGCTGAGCTCATGGGGAGAGAAAGGGCAGGGCTATAACAGGTATGTTTGTTTGATATTTGGGAAAAATGACGAGGAGGATTTTATTTTACTAGAAGGTTAACTTATATTATATCATATCATATCATATCATATCATATCATATCATATCATATCATATCTCTTATTATATCATATCATATTATATTATGTGAATTTGTTAAGTATTTAATTGCACAACTCTACAGTATTTTGTGACTGTTAGTTGACAGCTTTGATACTTGTATACTTGGATTTAATTGGTTAGTGAGTTAAAACACTTAAATTAGAATTTAATTATTAATTTTTTTTGGTAAACAATTTTTTACAATATATTTTACTTGTGAACAAACACAGGCTGCAGCAAATGAGATAAGAACTGTTTTTACTTTTCTGAGATTCAGAGAATATGAATCCCAGAAATTGCTTGGGAAGTTGTGTTTTGCTTTTCTTTGTGAAATGTGGTGACACAGGGCAGGGATGGAGGAAGGAAGGAGAGAGGGAATCAGTGGGAATGTGTCCTGCTGACAGCTTTGTCTGAGGTTGCCTCTCATTCCATGTGTGTTATTTATTCTCCCCAGCTGGTACCAGCCCACCGAGCCCAGTCCAGGCAGGAGTGAGGAATTATACTCCAATCTCCTTTTATAGTAACACCCCTTGCTTTCTGCTGCCCCTTAAATAGAAATACGAACAATCAAGTGAAATACAACCCCAGTTTAAAATAATCCAGGGAGTTTTAGGAACTGCTGCTCCCTCCCTGCCGGCCCCTAGAGGAAAGCACAGCAACCTTCCTGTGCTGCTTTGTGTCACGTGGAAATTGGAGCCTTTTTTATTATTATTATTTAATTAAAACAGCCCGTTTAATTCTTGTTCTGAGCCTCTTTGTGAGGAACAGAGAGGACACAGGGGAGGCTCTTTGCAGCCCCTCACCCTGAGAGCAGGGGCTGTGATCACAGCTGGGATCTCGAATTTCTCATGCACCTTTCTGCCATTCCCGAGTTATTTTCTCATCCATCCAAGCAGCCCCAACCATCAGAGGCCAAAATCCCATTTTCTGCCTATCTTCTTGGCTGCTGTATTTAACACTGACGTTTGTGAGCAATGACTCTGCTCACAGAGCAGAATATTCCCATGGCCAGCAGGATATTCCCTGGCTCTCCCAAATGGGACCAAAGCTGGGAGGAAGGAAAGGAAACCTCCCCTGACACCATCCCTGCCAAGGGCACTCTGTGAACCCCTGAACAAACCCACAGGGCTCTGCAGTGATGGGAATGGGAATGGGAATGGGAATGGGAATGGGAATGGGAAATGGGAAAAGGGAAGGGGAAATGGGAATGGAAAATAGGAAATGGGGAATGGGAATTGGGAAATGGGAACGGGGAATGGGAAATGGGGAATGGAGAATGGGAATGGGGAATGTAAAATGGGAATGGGAATGGGGGATGGGAATGGTGGGAATGGGAAATGAGAATGGAAATGGGAAATGGGAATGGGAAATGGAAATGGTGGGAAATGGAAATGGGAATGGGAATGGGAAATAAGAATGCGAGACTCCCCTGTGTGACACTCTGGGGATTTCCTGTGATTCCAAACCTACCTGGAGTGCTGGCACAAGGTGCAGAGAGCCCAGGGCAGCCCTGCAGCCTCAGGCAGGGGGGACAATGGATTCACTGATGTCACACTGACAATGTGTCACTGCCTGTGTGTGCCACTGCTCATGAGTGACACTGCCCCTGTGTGACACTGCCTGTGTGTGATACTGCCCATGAGTGATGCTGCTTGTATTTGACACTGCCATGTGTGTGACACTGTCATGTGTGTGACATTGCCTGTGTGACACTGCCATGTGTGTGACACTGCCCCTGAATGACACTGCCTGTGTGACACTGTCCCTTTTTCACTGCCCATGTGAGACTGCCCGTGTGACACTGCTTGTATTTGACACTGCCATGTGTGTGACACTGTCCCTCTGTGACACTGCCATGTGTGTGACACTGCCCCTGTGTGACACTGGCCCTGAATGACACTGCCTGTGTGACACTGCCATGTGTGTGACACTGCCCCTGTGTGACACTGCCATGTGTGTCACTGTCCCTTTTTCACTGCCCGTGTGTGACTGCCCGTGTGACACTGTCCCTGTGTGACATTGCCCCTTTGTGTCACTGCCCCTGTGCCACTGTTGCTGTGTGACACTGCCCGTGTGTGACACTGTCCCTGTGTCACTGCCCCTCTAACACTGCCCATGAGTGTCACTGCCCCTGTGTGTGAGACTGTCTCTGTGTGACACTGCCTGTGTGTGACACTGCCCTGTGTGAGACTGCCATGTGTGACATTGCCCATATGTCACTGCCCCTGGCCTCTCCAGATCGTGGCAGCCATACCCTGTGTCACCAGCAGGACCCTCCTCCTGCCACCCCTCCCATTGTTGGGGACACTGCAGAGCCCCAGAGCCCTCCCTGCAGCACCACATCCTGCAGGCACACACAGAACCAGAGTCTCAAAATAAATCAAAACATAAAAAATCAAACATCCTACTGTGTCACCAACCCCAGCCAGGGGACCCAAGGGACCCAGGCTCACAGTGACCCTGCCCTGGTCACAGCTCCCAGCACTCACAGCCTGCCCTGGCAGGAGCCTGAGGGCACAAATTGCTCCCCAAGCATGGCAGGGTGGGCTCTGCCCTGGCAGGGCCCTGCCCTCCCTCACTCCCCAGCAGCTCTGCACAGGAAAGGTTGGGTTGGTTTTACCTTCCTCGGCTTCCAGATCCACCGGTGGAGATACCAACACGCCCAGCTCCTGACATTTTTTGCTGTGGGCCTTTGACTTCATGTGTTTAGTCAGATTCCCTGGAAAGAAGCGGAAAATCCATTTTACTCAAATATGGCTCCTTTTCCCCCCTCCTTTTCCCCCCTTTTAACATTTTTTCTCTTTTTCTTCAGATTTTTTTCTTTTTTAAAAATTTCTCCTTTTTTTTTCCCTTTTGCACACTCAGCAGTCACAAGTCAAACCCCTCCTTGAACCAGACAAAGGCCCCTGACTGTCCCCAAGCCCTCCCCACTGCAAACCCTGGTGACACGAGGCCAGGTCCCCCTTCCCTCCCTTTGCTGCTGCCCCAGGGTGCAGGATAAGGTGCAGGCACGGTGTGGGACCTTCCAGGGCTTGTGCAGCCTGTAAAAAACTCCTGGGGCACATTCTGGGGCTGGGGGAAGAGATGGCATGGGCTGCTTTCAGCTGTGAGCATGCAGCAAATTAAAAATGGGAGGAAAGCAGGGATGGAAACACACCCCAGTGTGCCATCATCATCATCACCTTCCAACCTCATCCCAATAGCCCCACCTGCCTGGAGGGGAGAAGCTCCTCAGCACCACAGGACAGAGAGGATCTACCCTGGAAATGTACCAAAAGTGTGTGGATGTGGCACTTGGGGACATGGGTCAATGGTGGTGGCCTTGGCAGTGCTGGAGAAGGGTTGGGCTTGGTGATCTTGGCGGGCTTTTCCAGCTTTAATGGTTTTATGATTCTACAATAAAATGAGAGTTTGAGCTGCCAGCCAAAGGGGAAAATCCTGCATTGCCATTTTCCCCCTAAAAATAATGGCTCAGGTGCTCTTGAAATGTTCCAAAACCAAGTGGATGTGGCACTTGGGGACGTGGGGCTTTTCCAGCTTTAATGGTTTTATAAATTTACAATAAAATGAGGGTTCGAGCAGCCAACAAGAGGGAAAACCCTACATTGCCATTTTTTTCCCCAAAAAGAATGGCTCAGGTGTTCTGGAAGGCACCAAAGGGCTGGGCCAGCTCAGGTCCTCAAGCAGGAGGAGCCTTGGACACCCTCTGGAACTCAGAAATTCCCAGTGAGGCTTCCCCAGGGCCAGGATGGGGTGTGGGGTCACTGGGGCTGCTCCGGGATAGCTCAGAGGGCACCTCTCTAATTCTGCCTTCCAAATTACAGGCAGGTTAATTAGACACTAATTAACCCCACTTACAGGCCGGGGAAATGCTGAAAAAAGGGGAGCATTGGCTGGAGGGAATGGAGCAGGTAGGAAAATGAAGGGTAGCAGAACTAAAGCAAAAATGTCCCATTTTCCCTTTTCCTCTCAACAGCGCTTCCTAAAATCCCAAACTGGGATTGGGAGGGACTTTAAAGTCCATCCAGGGACACCTCCTGCTGTGCCAGGGTGCTCCAAGCTCCATCCTGGCTTTGGGCACTTCCAGGGATTTGTGGGATGATGAGGAGGAAGAAGCTGGGCCCTGTTGAAGCAGTGTTTGAATTTCCCATGCCCTGCTGTGCCCTCAGCCTTGCTGGCACTGAGGAGCACCAGGCTTGGTTTTCTCACCAAAAAATAAGAAAAAAAAAAGAGGAAAACCAGAATTTTCCCATTTTATTACAACCTCCAGGGAGGGCTGAGGTCGTGCAGTGCAAAGTCCCCAGTCTGGGGGAGCACAGGGGGCCCCTCTGAGCCTCTCCTGTTGCTGCTCTGGCTATCAGGGATAAAAAAGCCACTATTCACTGGAGCAGAGCATTACCCGTGGTGCCACAACCACCCAGCTGCCACCTTGATTTCTCCTGAGCCCATGAATTATTTATTTCAGCCCATTTTGTACAAAAATGGAGCAGCTCCAGCAGGAAACACCATGAGAGACAAAGGCTGACTCTATATCCCTGTGTATCTGGCACCCAACCTGGACGTGGATTCAGGGCATGTTTAATAACCTGAATGCAGCAAAACAGCTCCAAATAAGAGAGATTTATTCTGTTTAACTGCCCTGAGCCCCCTGGTCAGGACACTGAGGTGTGAGGATGATCTCAGCTCCCTGCTCCAAACCAGAGCCTCTTTTCCCACCCCAAATCAGGAGTTTTGTCATGGCCCCAAACCCACCCCATGAGCCAGGAGTGTGTTCTCACAGACACCTCTGCTCCCAGTGAATCACCAGGGCCTGAAAATGAAAAAAAAAAACCATCCACAGTCCCAGCTGTGGCCTCATGGAGCTGGAATTTCATTTTGGAAATGAGAAGCAGCAAGAGCAGCCCAGACTGAGTCAGTGGCTGCAAACCCCCACTGTGCTGCTGCTTGTCCAACCAGCTCTGCCCCATCCCTGCCCAGCCAAACCCTGCCTGGAGCCCCTCCAAAGGCAGCAAACACAACCCCAGCAGTGAGCAGGGCTTTGTGGGGACCCAGCTCAGTGGGGAGGGGACATCCCCAGAGTTCTGGTGCCCCCAAACCAGCCCAGAAATCCTCTCTGTCACCAGGAGCCTGCTGGAAAAACCAGGAGAGAGACCCAGACCGGAGGGAGCAGCAGGAACTCCTGAGGAGAGGGAGCTGCTCAGTGCTCTCAGGTCCTCAGGGGTGCTCTGAGGCCAGCATGGCCACCTCAGGTGTCCAAAAGCCACTGTGGCCACATCAGGTGTCCAAAAGCCACTGTGGCCACCTCAGATATCCAAAAGCCACCTCAGGTGTCTAAAAGCCACTGTGGCCACATCAGGTGTCCAAAAGCCACCATGACCACCTCAGGTGTCCAAAAGCCACTGTGGCCACTTCAGGTGTCCCAAGGCCACCGTGACCACCTCAGGTGTCCAAAAGCCACCATGATCACCTCAGGTGTCCAAAAGCCACTGTGGCCACCTCAGGTGTCCAAAGGCCACCTTGGCCACCTCAGGTGTCCCAAGCCCAGCTGGCTGACCACACCAGCATGTCCCTGTGCAGCTGCAGGACCTGCAGGGCTCCCAGAGCCCTCCTGCCCCTCTGCTGGGGCTCAGCAGCTGCTGGGACTGCCACCATGCGCCAGGAGCCACCAGTGTCCCCTGCTGTCCTGTTCTCTGTCCCTGGCCAGGGCAGTGTGTGCCTCCTGCCTTCCTTTCCCAGCCCTCAGTGCCAACAAATTCACCCCAAACCCCAAAGCACCAACTCATCCCAAGCTTTGTTTCCTTCCCCTCCAGCTCCTTTTCCCTCTGCTCTGTCTCTCCCTTCCTCCCCCAGGTAAAGCTGCTGGCCAAAATCCTCCTGCAGAGCTCTGGGTGCAAATTTTCTTGTAGAAATGCCAAAAAAGCAGGGATGCTGCATCCTTTTAGGGAAGGACAGATCCTCATCTGCCCCCTCTGCATCATTTTAAGGCAATTAAAAGCTGGAGGCTCCTTTCCCTGGGCTGAGAAGCTGAGTGATCATCCTGGGAGCAATCTGCAGGACAAGGATATTTATCTGAGCAGGGCTCTTCTTCCAGTTTGTGTTTTTTTAGACCCCTTAATTAACGCTGGCAGCATTAAACGCTCGGCAGATTTCCAGTAAAACCAACACCACTTTGCTAAGTGAGAGCTGGATTTAATCCTACCAGGGAAGACTCACAGCTACTTGTTGCCTTGCAGAGTTCTGGCTCCCAAGTTAAAAAAAAAAAAAAGCAGAAAAAAAAATAAAAAAAGAAAACCACACAGCATTGCTTCCTTGGAAACCGTGGAAAAACATCTTTGAGGGAGCAAGAGAGAGCAGCAGGGAGCTGGATTTAAATAGCAGAGGAATTTCACTGAACCCTAAGCAGGTAAGTTCTCCTTATTGGGGAATGTTTACCAAAAAAAGCTCCCAGATTTGCAACCAACTGGTTATATTTAAAAAATCCCCCAGGAATTGCTGGGAATGCTGAGCCCCCAGGAGGAGCAGGGGCAGGGTGAGCACAGCTCCCATTACGCCTGCCCAGAACTATGTGCTCAGCTCTGCCCATGCTGGGAGCTCTGAGTGGGACTTAGAGCAGCATAAATGCCTGTGTTCTTTGGAGAAGGCTGAGACTGGAGCCTTCCAAAAGCACCTAAAGCAGCTTAATGGGGACTAGAAGTGATTTCCCACTTAAATTTCATGAGGGAAATTAATTTTTTTTTTATTTTGCAAGAGCCATTATAATATTTTTAAGGTGTTAAAGCAGAATGTAGGGAGCTGAAGCATTGAGATTCCTGGGAAAATTATCCTGTCTTTGCTGGGGATGATCCTTTCTATTTCTGCTGTTAAATCTGATCAATTGAGCAACAACCAAAAAAAACCCCAAAACCTAAAAAACCAAAGAATGAGCGAGTGCAGGAGGCAGCACAGTGACACAAAGAGCCAGGATGAACAATTGTCACATTCCTCTTTGGAAAGCACTTTCAAGGAGAGCAGCAGCTCCTCTGGGAGGAGGAGAAAGCCATGGAGCC